TGGGCGCCCCGGGGGGCCGGCCGGGGCAGCAGCCAGTTGGGAAGGGGTGTCCCAGGCGGACAGGGACTCCGCGCTTGCCTTCCAGGACAGCCTGGTGTACGTGCTGAACCGGGAGCGCCACACCGTGGGCCAGAGGACGCCCTCCAGCAAGCCCAGCATCAGCCTCTCGGCCCCCGACATCCTGCCCCTGCACTGCACCCTCCGCCGCCACCACCCCTCCGGCCGGGAGCAGGCCGGGAGCCTGCTGGTCCTGGAGCCCCTTCCCGGGGCGCCGGTCGCCGTCAACTTCTCGGAGGTGGGGGGCCGGACCGTGGTTCTGCGCCATGGAGACCTGCTGTCCCTGGGCCTCTACTACCTGCTGCTGTTCAAGGAGCCGGCACAGGCCCAGCCGCTGCCCGCCCCGGCCCTGGCCCGCCTCCAGGCCCTGCCCCACAGCTGCCGGATGTGCGGCGCCCAGCTTCGCTCCCCGAGTGATGCGCGGCCGCGGCAGCTGCGCCTGGAGTTCGAGCCCGACGTGGAGGACGCGCTGCTGCAGCGCATCATGACGCTGATCGAGCCGGGCGGCGAGGACCACAAGCTGACCCCTGCGTTCCTGCTCTGCCTGTGCGTCCAGCACTCCGCCACCCGCCTCCAGCCCGGCTCCTTCGGGCAGCTCCTGCTCAAGATCGCCAAGGCGATCCGCGAGACCGTCTGGGTCAGTCTCAGGCCGGGCAGTGAGGGGTCCCTGGGGGCTGTGGCCACAGGGGCACATCCCTTGTCCTGCCTCTGGCCTGAACACACCTCCAGACCGGGGCGCCGCTGTGGCCCTGCACCCTCGTGGGGTCAGCCGTGGCTTCCTGAGCTTTGGTCCTGTGTCCTCCCCTGGCCCCGCCCGGCCCCGCCATGTGCCTGGGAACAAGGTGCTAGGAGCCCTGAGCCTCCATGTGGCCTGGATGCCCCGTGCTTCCTGCCGGGAGCAGGGTGAGCCCTGCCGACCCACTGCAGCGCCTTTGGGACGCGGTGGTGGGGGCCCAGGACCAACGGCCGCCTTCTGTACATGGAAACCTCCCTCCAGGGCGGTCCCTGGGCTGCGGCCCCTGAGCCTCCAGGAAACGCTGGCGGGGCCCCAGCCCGGGATGTGTAAACACCGGTGCCACCCCGCGGGCTCCTGTCCGCTGCCGCATCGCACTGGGCTGACGTTACAGTCCGGGCAGCAGGGCCTCCTCCTGGCACGTGTGGAGCGTTCGCTGTTCCTGAAACGGCCGGAGGCTATGGAAGCTGGCGGCCGAGAGGCACTCCTGGGGCAGGAAGTGCGCAGGTCACACTCTGACGGGTGGGAAGGTGTGGAATCCAGTGGGAAACGCCTTCCCGCAGCCTCAGGGCCTCGGCGCAGAGCCGCCGTCTGTATCCTCGGCTTCTGGTTCCTCACACTCGCTCTCTTGTCCTTTGTGATCGTAGGAGAAAACCAAGGAGCTGGCGGAGAAGCAGGCGCCCCTGTAAGTACTTCCCTCGCTGCCCCGCCTGCCCCAGGCCGCTGGCTCCCAGGTGGACCAGTGCGTCCACCCAGCCAGCCCCAGGGCCCTGCCGTGTGTTGTCACACTGTCCCTGCTGGTCTGTTTTTGCTTTGGTTGCCCACACCTCGGGGGTCATATCCATGAAACCCGTCCCCACTGCGAGCTGCCCCGGTCTGTGCCTCCGCGTGCGGCCGGGCTGGCGGTGGTGCCCTCGATGCTGACCTCGCTGGGATCGGCCTGAAGCTCCGCTGGCCACCCCTGGAGGCCTGGGTCTCAGGAGGGCTGTCTGTGCCTTCGAGTTCTGGTGAAATGAAGGGCAGTGACCGAAACGAGACTGAAGAGCCAGGTTAATCCTTTTCTAACGACACGACTCCACGCCCGTGCGCACATGCGTGCGCTCAGCCCAGTGTGAGGAGCGCCAGAGGAGCAGGACCCGGCCCCTGGGGCAAGCACGCTGCCGGCGGTGCAGGAGGACACGGAGACGCGCCGGAGCCAGTCCTTCCTCCCGGAGCGGGGCAGAGGCCCCATCGTGGACAGAGGACAGAGTGGAGTGACGTCAGGAGAACGAGACCCTGCCGCACAGGAGAGGGGGGCGCGGGGGGGACAGAGAGCCTGAGGTCCCCGTGGCCACACCGCTGCTCAGCAGGGATGCCACAGAGCAGCCAGCCCAGCCTCTGGGCCCGTCTCAGAGCCTCGCTCCCCAGGACCCGTCGCTGCGGGCGGATCAAAGACCTTCCTCTCATGCACGCACACGTCGCACACACGCCAACCTGCAGGGATAGGAAACGGCGTACTTACCAGGCTCCTTGCCCAGCGGCGGGGCCACCGGCGCTCCCTCCGCCGCGGCTGGTAGGCGCCCTGGCCGTCGCTGTCAGACAGGCGGGCGTGCATCTTCCTCTCCTTTCCCAGCCTCGCTCGCTGGCTCGCTGGCAGATCGCAGTTCTTGCTCGTGTCCCTGACGGCGTGTCCCTGGGAGGGTGGTGCCCGCTAACTGCGTCTCTCCCGCAGCCAGGAGCCCGTGACGGCGGCCGGCTCCTGCCTGGCTGGGCTGCTGCCCGAGCTGCGGCACGTGCTGCTGTGGATGGCCAACGCCGTGGAGCTCCTGTACTTCGTGCAGCAGCAGGGCCCCGTGTACATGCAGGGCCTGGAGCAGGGGCCCGACGCCACAGGTAGGCTGCGCGGGCGGTGGCCGCGCCGTCTCGGGACAGACATCTGTCGGGCTTCCTGAGCACAAGTGGCGCTGGCGGTCGGGCTCCCCTGGTGCCTGGGCCCCGGCGCACGGCACTGTCTGCCGTTCACGGCCACCCCGCTGTTCTCGGGGAGGCCTGGGGGACACAGGCCCTCAGCAGCTTCAGAGAGAAGGCGGGAGCGCGCAGAGCTGTGCGGGGCACGCCGAGCTCAGAGCCTAACGCGGGACGAGGTGCGTCGGGGTTTGTGTCAAGTGCTGAGAACACTGCGAGGGTGACGGGGAGGGCTCGGGAAGGTGGCCGTGGGCTGCGCCCCAAGGCTCGTGGGACTTCACTCGTGTGTCTGACGAGGACTGTGCGGGGTGACAGCCGGGCCCCCAGGGGCTGGGGCCGCAGCCAGTGTGGACGGGCTGGTCTGCCCACACAGCCTCTCCTCGGCCTCGGCAAAAACAAGGCTCACGCCTTCCCTGGCGTCAGGGGGACCTCGGCCTGTCACGGTTGAGGGGTCCCCGCAGGGGTGGCCTGGTGGCCCTGCATGTGGGGGCCTGGGCTGCAGCCATGAGGTGCACTCGGGGCTGGGAGGGGACCAGGGAGGAGGACGGGGTTGGCTGGGGCTCCCTGTGAACTGGGCCAGCCGGACACGGCACAGCGTCTGCGTGTGCTCAGCTGTGTCTCCCGAGAGGAAATAACCTGAAAAACAGTCCGCTGACTGGCCTGCTGCCTCCGCCCGTCCGCAGTGGGTG